ATTAAACTTAATTTGATCATTAATAAGACATCAGAGAATTCATAAAATCTAATTAATTATAGGAAAATTGATTTTTTATCACTAACAATATGACTCAATTTCTTGGGACAACTAAGGCATATAATCCATGGAAGCACCAGCTCTCATAAAGTGTCCTAAATCGCAGTCTGTACCAAAGGCCTAAAGGAAGATTACTTTTCTTGTCTACCATGATCATATATAAGCTCTTTGCAGAATGTATCAGTAACTGAATGGACTTTTATATTTATAGCTAATAAAATCTTTTACACATTGCTTTCTCAGTAAAATTTTAACTATAATACTGAGATGATTTGTCTGATTTCTCCTCTAAAACCACCTGCCATAATTAAACCTGTTAAAACCCACCCATATACTCATTCCATACCAATCTTTGGGGCTAAGCCTCCATCTAGCATGGAAGTGTTTTGTTTTGTTTTGTTTTTAAGATTTAGGAATTCTCTTTCAGCATTAGGGGAAAACAGCCATTATTTCATTCTTTTTGTTGTAGTTGAGACAGAGTCTTACTCTGTCACCCTGTGTAAAGTGCCATGGCATCAGCCTAGCTCGCAGCGACCCCAAATTCTTGGGCTCAAACAATCCACTTGCTTCACCCTCCCAAGTAGTTGGGACTACAGGTGCCTGCTACAATGCCCAGATTATTTCTCTATTTTTTTCTAGAGACAGGATCTCACTCTTCCTCAGGCTGTTCTCAGACTCCCAAGTTCAAGGCACCTTGGCCTCCTAGAGTTGTAGGATTACAGATATGAGCCATCAAGCTCTGTACCATTACCTAATTTATGTTATGGATAAATTCAACTTTCCATTTGTCCTAATCATGTCCTGCTTCTCCAGTCTCTTGGAGACTATGCTTTGACCTGTCACAACTCTCCCTGACACCTCCCCCTGACCACTAGGAACTGGACAGAGGGATTACTATCTAGACTTCTACCATTTACCTTCCCCACATGCACCACATTATTTAGCAATGTCAGCTATTATAACAAAAAATTCAAACTATATGACAATCAAACCTTGACAGAATTTTCTCATCCATGTAAATTCTAAGACAAACGTTCCTAATCAGTGCACAGCAATTCTCCAGAGATGTAGCAAAAAGTCCCCTTTAATCTTGTGAATCCACCACTTAAACATTTGCCTTCCAAGAATGCTGTGCTCATCAGCATTGACTACACAAATGAGGGAGTGGGTAAAGCCCACCTGTTTCTAATGCTTCTTGGCATAGAAATGACACTCATCACTATTGGTTGCATTCTGTTGGTAAGAACTAATCACATGGTTATAATAAATAGATGCAAGAAAGCTGGGAAGTGCCCTTCCTGACTGAGCAGCTGTTTCTTCACAGTGATTCTGTATTGAGAATGGAAATACACCAATTTTGAAAGATATTTACCTCTTTCAGTTCTATCTCATTTGTCCTTTTTTTTTTAATGACTGATTTGTTGATCATACATCTGTTCTCCAAACCTATATATGCTATATATGTTTTTTCCCATCAAAAATAGCCTCCTAAATGTGAACCCATCCTTAGGAAATACCATTTTCCCAGACTCTACCTGTAAGTTGTATTAAATGTCCTGCCTTGTCCATCATTCCATGGTCTCGCATATCCTTTTGTTTACCCAGAATATATGTACTTGAATCTATTTTGTTGTAATATGTCATAATTCAAGGAATGCCCTAAGAATTATGAGAAAAGTCATGCCCAAGAAAGCAATAAAATAAAAAGAATTGTGTGGCATATCTATATTGAAGAAATTAATCTCACCCAAATCACAGAAATGTAATAGAAAAGGTGAACCAGAGTGTAAACTTCCTAGTAACCTATGTAGAAATGGAGCATGAAGATAAAGCTGAGAGCAGAACAGAGGCAAGTACACAAATTATGAATTATCTAAATAATAAAGAGGAAAATAAGTGGGCACTTGGAGAGTATATTCAGATAAAGTGATGATGATGTGACTGTATCAGTGATGTAAAGAGGTTTATAGCATGTTTTATTACTGATTTGATAGTTCATTAAAATCTGAAAGAGCATTATCACATTTGCTATATATTTATATTCAATTAGAAATACATAAGAGAGAATATGTGTGTGTGTGAGAGAGAGAGAAGGGGAAAGAGAGACAGAGAGAGTTAGCCATATATGGACAAACATATAGGAGACTCAAAAGGAAAGGCGATTTGGTATTGACCTTAAGTTTATTCAATAGGAGACCATACTGGTCAGTCCACCCCATGTTCAAAGTGGAGCTATAAAATATTCACCAAGCATCACTTATCCAGTAGCTCTTTATAGAATAAAAAAAAAATAAGAAATTATCAGGATGAGGCAGGTCCAATTTCTCACATATACCAGATTTCACACTTTCATTTGAAGGAATTAAAAATAAGTTACTTGACCATAAGCATCAAGAATTTGAAACATACATTCCATGAGCAAGTCTGCAATAACCATATGGTAAATGGTGGATGCAAGGGACAGAAATAAAGGAGCGGAAAGCATCAAACCATATAGCCTGGCTTCAGCTCCCCATATTGCTGGGAAGACGCAAGTGACTCCCCCCAAAAGAGTGTCAGAAGAACTCCGAGAATAAAATATGTTCCTGATCCAACCTCAGAGAAAGTCAGATAGGCATGGAGAAAGCATGGGAAGTGGGGAGATTCCAGAAACCCCCTCCCCCTAAAGAGCAAAAGTCTTTTCCCTCAACAAAATAAATGGATTTCCCCCAGGGAACTAAAATGATTGTCCCTCTTCTTATCCATCATTTATACCAGACAAACATTATAAACTAACTCAATGTTACTAAGAACTTAATTAACAGAAAATTATTATACCAAGCATTGAGTTGCTAAAATACAAAGAGACCCTGAAAACATCTGTGTAGTCCCTAGTCTAAAAAAATATCCTTCATCTGCCATCTGTGATGCTTTTTTTTCTTTACCTTGTTTTTAAACTGGAATGTAAAAATTTTATAGGCACAATATTTTCTGTCCAGAAAATACCTTCCTTGGATTCTACATAGACTCTTAACAAAATCCACATGGAATACATCACCATGATACAAAAGTAGAGCTTTCCTTAGCTAGGGTGAATCCTCACAATCTCAGTTAGGTGAACAGTCCTTTTTCTTCTTAGGCATGCCAGTCCACAACTCTTGTTGTTCCTGCATCTTCTCACTGACTGCCACAGGTAACCCACAACCACAAAAACCTCCCATTGTGCCTATCTCATGTTAATTACTCATGACCCGTGGCTTTGATGCCCTTTCTAACATGGGTGGAAGAAACTCTATTCCCTCTCCATTCTTTTTCCTTCTATTGTTTTTCCTTTCTTCCTCTGAATGATTTATAATTTCCATCACCTTCTTCCATTGGTTTCCAGGATTATGAAAGAAGTATTACTGGTGCCCAAACCCATGATCTGAAAACCAAAAGCTAGTGCCAAAGGGTTCATTTAAAATAAGAATCACCCAGAAGGAGTGCTTCTTAGAAAAAATTCCATTAGAGCTAAAATGAATATTGTGTGTGCAGCATATTTACTATATTTACAATCAATGAGTAGGATTAATCAAGGAGATGATGCCAAGATATTTTTTTCTTATTCAAGTGTTCACAAATAAATGACATTCTTGTTCATTAAAATTCAAATTCAGATAAATGGCATCCTCTACTTGTAAGTGACCCTTAACCATGCAGGTCATAAAAGAAGCTGCCAGAATTCTGAAGTTGCATTTAATTTAAAGCTGCAAAGGAAATTAATTAGGTTGAAACAGAAGCTCTGGCTTCAAAACAAGGATGGATAGTCACTTTAAATAACAAAATGTCAATATTTGCAGAAAATTGAGACTTCGCAAATAATAAACAGTGCTATTCCCTCCATGAATTGTGGTCCAACTACTATAAATATGGAAATTCAACAATTCATCACTAGAACTATCCTTTATTTTAGCTACTTTCATCTGGTAATAAATAGAAATTATATTTGTTGGATAAAGTTAGAAGGAGAAATCTCTCTGCCTTTTCTTTTTCTTGATGAATTTGGCTCAGGTTAAGAATATCAAATTATATGTTGACAGAGGAAATAACTTGGCATCCTGAAAGACTAAAAGATGTTACAAACATAATTATCTCAGATCAGCACCACATGGTATATTGTCAGATAGAGAGGGGGAAAATTACCTAAGATGTAAATTGGAAATAGGTAGTCTTGCCAATAGAAAGATGGATCTGCGTGTATCATTTGAGTGGCCAAATTCTTTTGAGATTTTTACATTTTTTCATCTTTTATTTGACCATGCAGATGGATTTGATTTTACTTTGGTAATGTTGGCAAAGAATAAGATCATTAGTACATGCTGAATGATTTTAAAAGTTACATAATTATAATGTTTGCCAAAAAAGTATAAAAAAGAATGACAAAAGGTGCAATTATTTCACATTTATACAAATAAAGTTAGGGGTATGTAAATATTTTTAAGACTTATATTTTTACATCTAACAGAGCAAATGAATGTTATTGGTTGGACTGAACTGTCCATTCAGTATGAAAGTTGTAGAACTGTCCATCTGTTGGTGAAAAAGCTATCAGAAAGTCCACTGGGATCTCAGTGGCCATCAAGAGCTAAACATCTTCCCAAATACCCAAACTCAATGTTAAAATACTGTTTTAAATGCTAAAATCATGAGGAGGTTTGTTTTGTTTGGTTTGGTTTGGATTGGGGCGGGGGGAGTTTAAGTAATCTTACAGAAGTTCTCTGTGTAGTAATCCAAGTTTCCAAAATATATAGAAATGTATATAGATTAAGGTACTTCCCCTGTCTCCTTAGAGACAGCAAAGCTTCAGAGAAAGGTGTTTACAACCTCTACAGAAGAACACCAGGCCCACAGTATGAGGCACAGAACAGCTGTGAAATAAACCACTCCCTCCAGGGAGGAAGAAAGGACAACCACTACCCCAGGTACATGGACAAAACCGCAGGGGAGATATACTGGCACTACCCAGGGGTAACTGTGCTGCTAATTCTCTGGCTGGAAAGAAAACAAGATGCATTTACAAAGGAATAATGTGAAGAGCAGAACAGAGATTTTCATCTAAATATTATGATGCTCTATGTGTGTTTGGGGCAGATCAAATGAAAAATATATGGGCCAAATGAATCAAGGATATTACTAAATTCCTTGATTTACCTTATTTGCTTCCTGAATTTTCCCCAAGGAGAAGTAACTAATTCCTGCAAAAGAATCCAAATTCTTCTCTCAGGAAATAATAGCTATATCATTGTGTCAGGGCTTAAACACTTATCATACTCAAATTCAGTCAATTGTAAGTAATTTTTTTATGTCCTAGCTACCAGTTATAATAGTGCTAATTTTAAAAATGTACCTAGAATTTAAGATTTTCCAAACTGGACTAATATGCTTCCTTGCTCCAGTCCAGGGAATGATATGATTTCCACTTAGTTGGATAAGTTGAAAACTTGAACATTATTATTTCTCCTGCCTTTACCTCCAGATTGAATCCGTTACAAATTCCTAATGACACCACCTGACAAATATTTCTTATTGCTCTCTATTTCAGCATTGTTGTCTAAGTTCTGTTATTTTCTTAGTGGAGTATTTTAGTAACTTCTTTGCTAAATAATGATTTCATATTTTTCTTCCTCTGGATGCTTCTTCCATTTTTCACTGTTTCAGTGATCTGTATTGCTCTTTTTATCTCCCCATTGGATTGTTCCACTCAGCATACAAATTGATTCAAAATTTTGATTCTGCCATCGAGGCTGGGCTCAGCTGGGTGATCCTTCTGCAGGCATTACTTGGGATCAGTCCTGTAGCTGTAGTTCTCCAGAGGCTTGAGTAGAGCTGGAAATCCATGATGGCTTCACCAACAGGTCTGGACTCTCAGCTGAAAGGCTGGAACAGCTGGAGTGTAGCTGAGCATTTCTCTCTCTGCCCTCAACATGGTAGCCCAACCTCTTTAAAAGGCGTTCCAGGCATTTAAGGAAAATATCTAATTTGAAAGTTTAAGACCAAAGCAAAACAACAGAAAAAAAAAAAGTCAATTTGGAAGATTCATAGATGACACAAAGAAAAGAAAAAAATAAAATCATCTCTCTCCTCAGAGACAAAATAGGATTAAAAATTAGTCTCATTTAAAAATATCAATTTCTGAGAAATGTTGTTTTAATAAACAGGAGGTTGAGGGTAAACTCAAGGAATTCTGCCAGAAAGAAATCATATGGAAAAAGGGGGAAAGACAGTTATCACGCAAGGATCAAGTTTCAAAATACTCTCAGACTTCTCCACAGTACTCCTAGAAGTTACCAAAAAATTGAGAAATCCTTTCAGAATTCAATGAAAAATAATTTCTAATCTAGAATTTTTTTCCCCAGGACAAAGTCTTAACTATAGTTCAGAATAGAACTATGAGGTTTGAGGCTCTGAAAGATCTTTAAAAGAGTATTTCCTATGAATGAATTTTCAGAAAAAATATTGAAAGACAGGCTCTACCAAAATGTGAAAGTAAATCAAAAATAAAATTTATCGGATCTAGGAAACAAAATCTATCACCAAAGATAGGCCAAGGGGATTATTAGGCTTATAGTAGAAGTAACTCTCCAGATGGCAGCTATACATCATGCCTACAAATTGATCAAATAGAAATCAATCAATTCAAACAGTATTAGGTATGAAGCCTCTAGGAAAGACTTTTTTCCCAGTGAAATGTAATTAATGGAATATATAAAGTTTTAACACAGGAAATTAAGTTAGTGTTAATCACAAACTAGGTAAACAAACAATTATCTGGGCAGGAAAAGGATGCTGCACAGGAAAGAAAAAATAATCCTATTACATAGCTCATCCAGAAATAGAGGTTACCTGGGTCGCTGCTGAATATTATTATTAAAATCACAATACTGAGTGGATAGGGGCCAGAGGTGGGGAATATGTATGTACAGGTTAGGGAATAAGGGGACAAAATTAAGCTAAATTCTCATCTTCCACAGTAGAAAATTGATAGGTACTACTTAAGACATAAATCCAGAAGTAGCAATACATGCAGATTATTTAAAAACACAGAAGTTAAACATCAAACAAATCAAACACAAGAATTGATAGCAATTGATTTAGAAAGTGGGAAATGATGGGAGCAGAGAAGTGATGATTTTCATGTCAATTCTTGAAGAGCTACCTGACTATTTAAATATATAATTTAGAATCAAAAACAAGCTAACGAAAATAGTTACCTTTGGAAATTCATGTTGTGTGTGTGTTTCACTTGTCCTTTCTTCCTAGTTACAAATTTTTCCGCACGTATAGCAAATGCAGTTTTGAAAGATTTTAATTCAGTCTTTCATGGCCATTAAATTGCTGATCGTTTTCACTTAGTTTTCCACTTTCTTCTCTTTATATATTCCTATATAATCAATGCTCAATTAATATATAAGAACTCAAAGTACAAATGAATATATCAAGTGACAGAGTGTGTTTAAATGGAGAAGCTGGCTGATGAAGTTCACCAGTGAAACTATGTGCCTTGGCAATTAACTGCTCCAGACCTCAAGATCAAGCAAATACGCCCTCATCTTTGAGTCTAACTCTCAGATCAAATTGCATGCAAGGAATGGTCAAAGAACTATACCTATCCTGGGGGAAATTACTGGCAAAAGTAAATAAATTCCACGTGACATCAGCAAATTGTTTTATTAAACTGGTGACACAGTGGTTTCTTCCATTGGTTGATATTAGGATCAGGTTTCTCAAATCCATGAAAATAATTTAATCTCTCAAACTTAGATTGAAAGAGAGAAAATGGAAGACAGTGGTCCAGGGCCCAGGAGAAATTTATCTTTTCCCAACTCATTGTCAGTGCTGTAGCACTTTAAAGCAATGTGTTTTTGATTCTCATGTTTGGATGGCATTTCTGCTTAGGAAATCACTCGCATTTTGATCTTTCTTTCCTTTTGGGACAGTCAGTGAAAAGTGCTTTTATAAGTTACAGTTCTGACCTTTTTAGGATTCTGTTATTTGATTAAAAAACAGAAGAGGTCGGCTGTCTAGTGGGGTTTATTGTCTGTAACAAAGCAATCAGAAATGCAACCAAAGAGTAATTTGTAAGTGGTTATGGATCCATTCGCAAGAAATATTTATTGTTACTGGTGTAATTCCACACCAAAATGAAATACGCCAGAGATCTGTTTGTCTTCCTCTCTTGAGGCCCATGGCAGCTATACCATAGGTGAAAACAATTTATAAAGATGGCATTTGGCTCCTTGAGAGATTCAAAACGCTTGAATGAGATCCAAGTGAACCCTTGCTTATTGAGCTCCCTCCTGGGGACGTGTGGTGTGGCATGAGGTGAGTCTTGCTCTATGTAGCACCTTTATTCTCTTAAACTAGTGTGGTCTGCAGATGTCTGGGCATCCCTGAGACCTTTTAAGGTGATCTATAAGTTCGAAACCATTTTCATAATAATATTACGTTAATATTTACTTTATTCTAGTGGCATAAAAACAATAGTGGTTAAAACATTAGCACCTAAGCATGAATATGAACAGTGGCAGGAACCTGCTGCTGTTTTTTAAATAGCAGCTTTACTAATATATAATTCACTTACAATTTAAAATACACATATAACTTACTCATTTCAAGTGGGAAAAGCAATGGTTTTTAGTGTCTTCACAAAAATCTGCAACTACCACTACAATCAATTTTACATTTTCATCCCTTCTAAAGAAGCCCCATGACCTCTGGGCGTCACTCCCTCACCCCTTCCAGTCCATCCCGGCTCTAAGCAATCACTAATCTACTTTTTATCTCTACAGACGTACTTTTCTGAACCTTTGATATAAATGAAATGATACCATATATAGTCTCTTGTGACTGTTTTCTTCCCGCTTAGTGTAATGTTTTCAAGTTTCGTCTATGTTTGTAGCATATATCAATTCTCCATTCATTTTATGAGCAGACAATATTCCATTGTATGGATATATGATGTTTATTCACTCACTCATTGGTTGACATTTGGGGTTGTCTTTACCTTTGGCTATTATAAACAATGTTGCTGTAAACATTTGGGTATAGGAATTTGTACGAGCCTGTTTTCATGTCTCTTAGGAGTATACCTAGAAGTGTATTTTCTAAGTTCCAGGTAACGCTACATTGAGCCATCTGAAGAACTGCCAGACTATTGTCCAAGGTAGCTACACTGCTTTACCTTCCTATTAGCAGTGAATAATGGTTCTGACCTCTCTACATTCTCACCAACCCTTGTCATTATCTGACCAGGTTAGGCAATCTCTATGGTTACTTAATATTTTTTATCTGAAAGAAAATTCTAGAAAATAATCTTAGCTGATAGCTATAATGTTAAAATGTAGTCTTCTATGCTTAAAGAAAGTGATGGGCATCAATGACTTCTGATTGTAAAATAACACATATAAGCAGTTTAATTACAATAGACTTATTAACTGTTGCTATCAGTAATAATAGTAAGAGAGTGGGTGATGGGTATTTTATAGAGGGGTGGTAATTCATATTTTTTCTTTAACTCTCTTCTGCTCATTGCCCATGTAGACATAGGTCACATGAGTCTGGCTCTACTTAATGAAGTGGTTTTACAACAATTCAGTCTGATGTCCAGGTAACAGGACCATTTGTGAAAGGTCAATTAAATACAGTTACCACAAGATTAATTCTGTAATTAGCCCAAGTTGACCAAAATACATAATCTGAATAAAGTCTGTATAACATGGTGTGAATACTTAGAAGCACACAGTCTCCAATGTGGAGTATCAGGACTTCAACAAATGTAATAAAAGAAATGCTTCCCAAGGGGAGTCAGATGAAAAATGATTCCTCTCTACCCTGAGTAATATGGCATTTTTTGCAAACTTGTAGAAACATTGCCATCACCATAGACCAAAACTTCAACTAATCTTAAACAAGACTAGCCCCCTCCTTCTGCTCCTCACAAATGATCACTCAGCCATTACCTTCCCTGTAAACATCTGTGCCAAGAAAATGTCTTTCCTCAAAGCAACATTTTGTTAAATTAATAATCATTTCTGGGACACACAAAAATCAATGGGTCCCGTTTGGTGCCTGAGGTGTCACACTGACAAATAAAGGGTGAGCCCCAATGCACACCTCTCGCTGTCTGCCTGGAGTTTTAGGCATGCCAGCTTTGAGCAGCTGTGGATTCTGTTTAATTCAGTGAATTTGCTGTTCATCAGCCCTTGGCAGGCTTTATCTCCCCATCACTCCAACAAAGGTAAGTTTGTCGTTGTCATTTCTTTTTCAATTATAGTTCCAACAACAAAGCAACTCACATATTTGTGCCACCTTCTACATTTCAATTTCTCCATAAAAAAACAAATATTTCAGTCTATTAAAAATGGCATGTTTTATGGATAATCACCTTCATAAAAGCTGTCATGTACATCTACCAAGGGCAGTAAGTATATAAAGTTCTAGCCTCAAACACCAAAACCAAGATGTTTTCTGGTGCAAATAGATATCCTTTTGGAAGAAAAATGTTGAGAACATCAACATATTTTCCATATTATAAAGGGATATTCTTGTTTGTTTGTTTTGTTTTGTTTTTGAGACAGAGTCTAAAACTGCTGCCCTGGGTAGAGTGTTGTGGCATCACAGCTCACAGCAACCTCAAACTCTTGGGCTTAAATGATTCTCTTGCCTCAGCCTCCCAAGTAGCTGGGACTACAGGTGCCCACCACAACACATGCCTACTTTTTTGTTGCAATTGTCAATGCTGTTTAGCTGGCCCAGGCTGGGTTCAAACCCACCAGCTTTAGTGTATGTGGCTGGCACCATAACCTCTGTGCTATAGGCGCCAAGCCTAAAGGGACATTTTTGAACTCATTAATACAATATCTGGTATAAAAATGCATGTAAGCCTTGAAATTTTAGTTGCTGGGACTGTACTATCAAGGTCACAGCTTATTGTTGCTTTTTGCTCTCTTGACCTTTCTGGCAATGAACTTAGGATCTTATGTCTTACTGCTGATTTTGTATACTGAGAAAAGCTTCAGAGCATTTTTTCAGTTATCAGTAGCAAAGCAATAACTAGCATGATGATGAAAGAGGGAATGAGCCTTCCTGTGTCTTATGGACAGTGATTTTGATATTGAAGGCTGGGATCGAATCTTCAGTTTTCAAGCAACCAATATTTCGTGTGTTAAAATCATCACCAGCAGCAGCATCACCACCACCGTTACTGCCATTTATTAGCTGCCTACTGAGATAAGTGTAAGCTTTATGCGGGAGCTTTTACACGCACTTACTATGATTTGTTTGCAAAGATGGTCACAAGAATCTCTCCCATTCTGTGGGCTGGTCTCCTTGCAACGTGACTCTGCCATTCTTCCTGTCAGGAAGCAGTTTATTTATCTCTTCCCTTCAACCTAGTCTGGTCTTGTTCGACTGAGTAGAAGTGACTGTAGGATTCCTGAGCCTCAGTTACATGAGGCCTTTCAGGTTGCACAGCTTCTATTCTTGCCCTCCTGTGGCCCTGAAGCCACCATGTAGAAAGACAGGTCTAGTTTCTTGGCAGATAATGAACCATGGGGGGGATTGGGAGAAAATACAGAACAAGAAAGGCCAGGTAACAACAATAAAACATGAAAATGAGGCCATCTTGGACTATCCAGCCCCAGTTGAGTTACAAGATAATATTGGCTATGTGACTGACCACAGGCAAGACCACCACATAAAACACCCACCTGCCTCCAGACCAGATTTCCAACTCACAAAACCCTAAGGAAATAAAAGG